CATTGCTATTCCAATTGAAAAAATCAAATAATCAATATCAATAAATTTCATCTGGGTTTTATTGATTGTAATCAATAACCGATGCTCAGGGTATAGTAAGGTATCGAAAATGCAAAAGTTTACTTGTACGGTCCGAGCACATGCTGGGGTAATTGTATGGTATGCGCAGAGGTCTGCCATTTGTTGTCCTGTGGCGTCCGCAGAGCTTCAGGCTTTTTCAATGTTGGATCCTGATTACTGTCCTAGACCCGCCCTCACCCCCCTCACCCCCAAACTAAACCCCCGCACAAATGGGTCCTTGTTGAATGGGCGGCGTAGTTCTAGCATAATGTCAATAATCGGGGGTTACAGCTGCTCAGTAGCTGTTGCCTAAGTCGTTTCAAGTTGAAGTGTTGAGAGTTGGGGGCTCGGTAGTTGTTTTGAGTCAAAGTCAATACGTAGGAGCAGGATTGCAGAAGTCAGTTGCCGGCAAAGCTACGCAGAAAGTACTATCATTGAGAATCTGGGCAGCTGCTGGACTACCTCCGTGCAACAATGACTGCTTGGTCGCCTCGAAGAAGTGGTGAAGCAAGAAATCCGCAGTCTTTGGGCTGAATTGAAATCCTGAGGCTTGAGATTCTGAGGCAGACTGGTCAGGTCAAGCATACTCATCACTCAAGAACAAAGTAGTTTTTGGCCTACCTCTTCCAAAGCTATTGAATAGCTATTCCTGGCAAGTTCCGCACAAATCGGCACACCCCAAATCATGTGAGACAGCAGAACTTCGCACACGAGTCATTACACACAAAGTGCGCCTGCGGAAGGGGGCGGAAAAAAAGGAAATACACCGATACACCGACCCAGAAGAACCCCGGGAGCGATCGGCGCGGGAAATCAGCAGTAATTACACCGGTACTTTTACAATCAAGAACAGTACACGTACCTGAATCCTCGGGGATGTCGCATGATGTCGCTGTGCAGTTGTACAAAGTGCCCCTTGCAGTTGGAAGGTGCTTCGATATCGCTGCGCAAGGTATTTGGCCACCCAAACCCCAAGCTTGAAAAAAGAACGCGAGCTTGTAGCTAAGCTCCTTGCAAGTTGCAAACTCCCATACCAGTCCGCCTACATATGTGAAAGCCGGCCTCTGCCTGGCGAGCCATTCGAAAACGGAGCCATAATCCTGACATCTTATTCGCCAAGCCCTGACGTCCGCAGCAAACTCGTTATTTCCTTGACAACTGCATGTTTCATCTGCAGGCAATGGGAGTTCACCCTTTTTGACTGGTAGGTCCAAGTTAACCCTGAGACAACGTCAAAGAGAACTTGGAACAGTGTCCTGTCAGGTGTTGCTTTCAGCTCTTAAGTGAACACGGAGATTGCTTGCAGGAGAAGGGCAAGCTGCTGGTTCCTGGCAAAGCCTTGGGCTTCAAGCTGGCGCGCTTCGCTCCGCTTCACTTCGCTTCACTTTTCTGCTCCACATGGGCCCTAGTATAATACGGCACCTAATATTTGGGTTACCCAAGAAGGGACCATAAATTTGACAACCACCCACATCTGTTTCATGGAGGTTCCTGGTGAACAAGAATTCGCAGAGGATACCAGCGACCAAGACGCGCTGAGCAATCCGGATTTTACCAAAGCAAAGACACTTGGCATGTTGGTGATCCGCAAGAACCTTTGTAAGGGATCCAAAATGTTTCCCCCTTCAAGTTTGAGCTGGAGCATGCTGGAGCTGTGGGCTGAACTGCCAACGGTTTTGAATCATTTACCCTGGCCGCTTGAGGCATGTGTTGAGGGGCTGGAAGTTGCGAGATGACAGTCGAATATGTTGTGCTTCTTCGTTCAGTCGCTCGTGCAGCTGTTGCTTTGTAAGATTTTCTGTTGGCTCATCGAATCCAAGGATCTTTGAAGACATACCGGCCTCAGTCTAAGATGTGACAGTGTGCGCTGAGTTGAGTGAAGCGTGCTTCAACTCGGTAGACTCGAAACGTTTGTTCTGTCCGTCTGCACGCGAGCGGTTGTAAGAGTTTCGTAAGCACTGCTGCCGCTGCTGCTGTTCGCCTAAGGAAGCTGTGCCAGGACACAGTTGCCTTCCTGCTTTTGTGCTCTGCTTTTGCTGTGCTCTGCCTTGCTCAGTCGCGGTGGTTCGGTGGTTCAGCAACGCCAGGACTTCGCACGTGGCTGCTCCTCCTCTGCCTGGAGGACCTCTTGACTCCGAGTTTTCGGGTTGCTTTGGACTGGATGCCAGGACAGGTTGAAGCTGGCAAACGAGTGGTGCGAAGAGCAAGGGGCAGCGACCCTGGAAGAGGCCCAGCTATAATCTTTCGAGTCTCCGGAGTGCCTTCACGAAAAAAGAAATTGTTTGGGGTTTCGGGTTTAGGGGGCCCTTCGCAGGCTAATCTTCCAGGATTTTGGGTCCTCGGACGGTTTTTTTTCTGTTGGGGAGTTTCTTGTTGAGGAGAACGGCTTAGTGCTAGGCATGTGAGCCCTTCCCCCTAATAATGAACGGCGTCCTCCCCGCCAATAATAAATAATCCGGACAGGAGTTCCTTTTATTCCACATTAAGCCTCATTCGCAGGAGGATTGCCTTAGATTCTTTCATATTAAATCCTGTATAAAACCATATGAAAATCAAACAAAACCCAGGATGTCAAGGGATCCCTAATTCCTTTGGATTGTCTACTATACATACCCCCCTGGTCTGGCTCTGTTAAAAAGTAGTCTTGCCCCTTTTAAAATACTCATGATGATTTTTTTAGGGCCCTGGATTTATTGTTTATTATCAGGGTGGTTTTATTAATAACGTGAACGGATTAAGAAAGTATGGCGAAGATTCCAATATTTGTTAATGGTATTTGGCTGAACGAATTTGAAATATGTTGATGTTTTCAAACTTATTTATTTCAAACTTGGGAAATGAACACCATCTGCATCATAGTGTTGAGGAAATTTCGAACACTGCTCATGTTGGACAGTAGAAATTTCAGGAGCTTTGCCACGAGAATCCGTGTATTTCCGTAAACATCAGTTAGTACATATTTGCCGTGCCCTGTACTGTACAGTTCATACATGCGCGAATTGGATACTTCGTGTAGAAACAAGAAAGCCCCAAGTTCAGCTTGTGTTCACACGCCACAACGGTCCCCTCTAAAAAGTGGCGTCATTTCAAAGCATTTCAGAAGCAGTCTGTAACTGGGGTGCCCGGAATGAAATGTTGACCATGCCATGCCATTGATGCCGCGTGCCTCAACTGTTCAAGCGCGGGGGGACTCACGCAGAAACTTTGCATTACTGATACTTGTAATGCTAGGGAAGCAGAAGCCTATTCTGCATCATTTCTTGCTCCCTAACTAAGAGAAGGTGGCGGAGCAGAGAAGCAGCGGAGCATGTTGCTTGGAGGTGATCGAGGAGCGGGCGGATTTGGCTCAGTTCTTGGAAGACCGCGGAGGCCTCTCCGCAGGGGAGCGGCCGCGAGCCCAAGGGGTCCGCACTCGGCTTCTTCGAAGCCTTTAGTTGTTGCACCTAGGCAGGCGCTCCTGGAACGAGACCGCTAGCCTCCCGCTAGCTACGACGTCCGATTCTCCTGAGAAGATCAAAAGTTTGCCCAGGAACAGATCACATTTTTGCTCAGACATTGTTCCTTAAGGGTCCCCATTGGCAGCTTGCAGAAAGTCTGAAGCGGTTATGCCGGCAAAGCGTCGCAGGTCTGGCTCAAGCCACCTGCTGTCAACTCTGCTTGACCTGAAAAGAGGAAGCCAACGAGGCGAAACGGGTCCTCCCACAGATTCACGTGAGCTTCATGTTGGCGCATTTTGTTTGGAGGCAAGCGACCCATGGCGCTAAGGATCGGCGCCTCCAAAGTGGGCTTTGCTGGAGGAGGTGCTCGACGTTCGCTCCAGTGCTGCTCAAGAGGATTCCTTCAAAATGAAAAGCTTAGGCGGCTTTGGCGGTACTACGATGCGCTACGCCTTGTCAGTGATCCACGGCTACTGCTTTGGCTATTGTGTCTATGCCGGAAGCCCAGGTGCTCAAGACTCAAAGGTCTCTATCCACGCGACTTTTGAAGCCCTACCTAGCCAGGTGCTGGCAGTTAAGCCGACCTTCATTCAGCCAGGGACTTGGCTTGATGACTAGCTGTGAGGATTAAGCAGGGACCCTTGAAAACTGGCAAAGCGAAAGGAACTGCGAGGAACGAGCAAGCATTTTTCTCTACTCGTAGGTAGTCACATCCAAACAGAACTTATTTGGCAAACACGTCGTGGCAATTTGTGATACCCGCAGAAGGACGCGGCTGGCAGTCCTGGATGCTTTCCCCAGCCTGAAGCGAGACGACTGAACGACTGATGCGCTCCGACTTTTTCAACAGGTCGACAGGCAAAGCGCAGCAACGCATCTGAGCGTTTGGTGGCTTTGGGTGGCTATTGTTAGTCTAGCACTTGCAGCCACTTCACGATGCAGCCGCTGAATGTCCTTTACTGCTTGGTGTCATGCCTCTCAATCAGCAAAATGCAATGATCATGACTGAAAACATGTCAATCAGCAGAGAGTGCTATACCAACCCTTACAGCTGACCAGAGCGATATGGTCTTGCGTAAGCGCAACACTTTGTGGTGGATGCCATGAGTGGTTGCGCTGGCGATCCCCAGGCGTATCTTGACTGCCTTGAAGACTGCACCTGTCTCCAGACCACGAGCTACCTGGTATACTGTGCCACGTTCGCTGCTAATGCCTCTCGGCCGACCAACACGAAGTTCGGCTGCTGCGGCATGTTTGCCATTCAAATCATTCTATTGGGCGGCGTTACCAACGCAATGTGTGTAGTATCGGTACCTATACCTTGGATTTAGGAAACCGTTCAAAATGCAGGGCTGACACCCGTCTTGACGAGTGAGGTCACAGCGCACGATGTGTGCCTCTGTCTGACGACCCGCTGTATCGTGCGATGTGTGGAGCAGGCGGGGTGCACCATGGCCGAGAACTATTCGCAACAGTGCGCAGCGCTCGAGGACCAGATGCCTTGCAACCTGAATTGTCCAGGGTCTCAAGGCCAAGCTGACAATGCTAAATGGTCTTGGGGTCCTATGGAGTGGCCCTGCGTGGCAGCTCAGCCCGGCGTGTTTGTAGAACCTGCCAGTGGCACTCCGTGGTTGATGGTCACACTGATTGGCTCAGCCGTGGTGCTGATCGTCCTCTTAGCTATTTGCTTTTGCACCTGCAGACACCTGAAAAAGGGCAAGGCGGACATGGAAGCCGACTTCAGCTCAGTTCCGCAGTTCCAATGCATTGTGCACATTGCTGAATCTCTTTCGCTTCACTTTAAATTCTTGCCCAGGAGATGTACGGCAGAGCTTGAGGAGCAGTGAGTATGCACTGCTGCACCAGTAGGGAGAGGCGCGCTCAACATGAGCAGGCCATGCCAACGCTGAAAAAAAGCGAGCAGGGCACGCGTGCCTGAATGGGCCACGATGCTAAATTCCCAAGACGGGCAACCCGCCCCCGGTATGTCTGGTGACTTCAAGGCCAAGTTCCCCAGTCTGCTTTTCGTAGACAAGTTTTCACACGGCACTTGAAGTAGACACGCTGAAGACTTGCTAAAAAGGAAATGCTTCAATGCGACCTTGTGGGGCGACTCTTGCTCTTGGTTGGGAAAGGACACGGGAAGACCGAATACAGCAGTGCAAGCGAAGCTGAGAAAAGTTTTTTTTCCCGTAACGTGCTTCAGGCCACCTATGAGTCTCAGTGCCCATGAAACTTTGGAAAGTCAACTTGCCGCGCTGCCGTGCCAAGCTCTGAGCAGTGTGAAGAGGAACGGAGTTACAGCTTTCTTGCATTTGAGCTCAGGATATTGCATGATATGATGTGGAGTTTCTTCAAGCCAGATCCTTGTTATGTTAGATCTTACTGCATGAGACAGCCTAGAAACGCATGCGTGGCATGTCAAAGTAGCTGAGAAGCCGGATCAAATGTATTGTCAGCCCTGGCTGTTCATGGCAACCTCATGTCCGACTTCGAGGCACATGCGAATGCAACTGCAACTGCAAGTGGAATGGAAATGCAGTTGGGCGAGAGGCGGCAGCCGTTGATGTGCACGGAGTGCACGGCCTGGGCACCAGTGGCCGGTCGTCCCAGGGTCACCCCCCTCAGCTGAGCAGAGGCTGAGCCAAATCAACGCACTTCCAAACACGTCCTTCCAGTCGTTCCGAGGTAGCTTGCAGCCCTTGCAGCCCTGGAGGCACCAGCAGCACTCCTGTAGCCACTGCCTGTTTTGAAGCGTTCTTTTCTTTGCTCACCTTTACGTTTTTGACTTGCAGGCTGTCTCTGAAGGGAACCTTCAAAGCTTTGAGTGCAGCTCGGCTGCACTCACTGCACCACGTAAAAGAAGGAGAGTTTTTCAGTTTGGACAAAAGAGCAAGGAGTGGGGCGACCAGATCGAGCGCCGACACTTCGACGGGAACTTTCTGGAGGCCATCGCCGAAATCTTGGAAGCTGGACCAATTCTTGTTTGGACAGGCTGTCAGCAGTGCTCCTCGACAAGCCGTGGAGCAGCACCGAAGTTTGCTGTCCCAGGCCTGGCGGGACTGCATGGCACCGCATGGCACCGCATGGTACCGCATGGTACCGCATGCTGCAGTGCTGCACTGCGGTGCTCTTGGAAAGGCCT